GTCTGCTCCCGACACGGACACAAACTGGCTTCTCCCAGAAAGATAGCTCTCTATCCACTTCAACGGTGTGTCAGAGATGTTAAATATGACTTGAAGCTTCCTCAAGAGACCTCTATGCCACACTGTGTCGAACGCCTTTGCAAGATCGAAGAAGCAAATGCCCGTGTACAACTTTTCTGCTCTTGCTCCGATAATGTCCTGTACAAGGCGAGTCAGCTGCAGTGAAGTTGAGTCTCCACGACGAAAGCCAGACTGAGCAGGGTGAATGGCAGGGGCAACATGGCTATACAACTGATCATAAAATATTCGTTCACATAATTTTGAAATGCATGATAAGAGAGAGATTGGCCTGTAATTTCCAGGAGTAGCTTTACTACCTTTGCCCTTAAATATCGGCGTTATTTTGGCCACTTTCCATGCCGATGGAAACTTCCCTTTTCTGAAAGACAAATTAAATAGAAGACATAAAGGATATGATAATGATGGTGCTAGAGCCTTAACAACTTCATTGGAGATGCCGTCCATACCAGGCGATTTGTTAAGCTTAAGCTTCGCAATAGCTTTGCGCACTCCAGCTGTGGTTATTATCGGAGCACGAAACGCATTCGGGAGGCAAGGGTGTTGGTCTAAGGACGGCAATGGTATGCGCGGGTCGTCAACAACCGCCACTGATGCAAATTGCTCGTTCAAAGCTGCAGCTTTAGCTGCAGGGTCTGCTGCCAACTTTCCATTTGATGCGAGGTCAGGTATTCCAGGGCTATTTCCCGAAGATCTCTGCATGCGAATGAATTGATGCAATGAAGGGTGATTACTGGTATCGCAAATCAGGACCTGCAGCTTTCGGATATACTCCCGGTGACATTTCCGGGACAGCGACCTCACAATATTTCGTTGCTTTTTAAACAGATATTTGTTGACAGGACTTGGGTACTTCCTACTCCGACTGTGAAGTTCCGCCTTGTGACGGATAGCACCTTTCAATTCCGCATTAATCCAGGGCGGAAGTTGTTTCGACAGGCGTGATCTCCCTGTATCCCTGATGGAGCAACGGTCATAGTGCTGCACACTAATGTGCTGCGTAAAGATGCGGTCTAGAACAGTCTGAATATTTGCAAGTGATTCGTCCACATCTGACGTAACAACCGTATGCCAGGCAACTGCCGCTAGATCATCATTAATACCCGCCCACGTGGTAGGTGTCACTCTCTTAAAATTGTACTTACGGGCAGAAGATGACTGCACAAAATCCCTGGATGAAGCACAAGAGGGAAGCGGGTCCATGGGGATATCAAACTGGCATGAAACGAGGAGGTGATCCGATGCACCCAGAGCACAGGCTGTGTCTATGGACGACACTAGTTGGCTACGATTGCTGAAGATGAGGTCCAAGCATGCCTGGTTGCCTGAAGGTGCGGTGTGCGTGTTTGTGGCGACCAGTTGTTGAAGACCAAAGCAGCCAAACTCTCGTTGTATTGCAGCACCAGCAGGGCATGTATGGTCTGTTGAGCACCAGAGGCTGTTTTTTCCATTCAAATCTCCAGCAATGATGACGTGAGAGGACGATACAGGAATCATCCTGAGAGAATCACCAATAATGTCGCAGTAGCGAGTTATGTCCAAGCTCCTGGTTGAAGGCGGTCGATACGTACAGCAAACGACAATTGGTTCAGTACGGCTTGACCTGGGCGTGAGCTGGACCCATACAGCCTCACACATAGGACGGAGTAGATCCGGGCGATATCGTATGGATCTAAAACGGTGTTCTAGAACAAGGATTGCAACACCACCGTATGCCCGGGAGGTAGTGCCAGACTTGTTTTCACAAGGCGGTCTGTCTCGCCGATAGGTTAGGTATCCCGGAATACAGAAAGGTATAGTAGGCTCTAGCCTAGCTCTAGCCTCCGTAACCTTCGATTCTGCTTGCCCCAGCAGGTCACAAACCAGGAATTTGCAGACAACATTGCAATTGAAGCCTCGGGCAGTTGCGAACAAGTGTGCTCTTCTCTAAGCACAGCCATCACTGGCTTGTCGCAGTGGTTGGAGGACCGCGGACTAATGCTGAACCAAAAGAAAACGCAAGCTCTGTTGATTACCCCAAGAGGCCCAGCCCCTGACACAGATAACATTCGAATTCGCTGCGGAAATGCAACCCTTGCCGTTGTGGAACAAGCGCGGTACCTGGGCGTAATGGTAGATGGGCAGCTCTCCTGGGAGCCTCACGTCAATCACACAATCCAGCAGGTGCGGAAGTCAGTAGGTGCGCTGTGGCGGAGCCGCCGAAGCCTCACCCTGGCGTCAAAGATCCTGTTTTACAGGTCGATGATCCAGGGTAGGTTGTCGTACGCTTCCAACGCCTTTTATCCGTCACTTCAAATTGGCAACATGGAGCCCCTCACACGTCTAACGAAGTGCGCTATCCGCGGCTTCTTTGGTCTGCCACCGTGGTCGCGCACGAGCCCGATCTTTGAACAGCTCCGCCTCACCACCCTGGAGGACAAGTTAAACATTAAGCTCCTCATCTTTGTCTGTTCTCCCGAGCTAGCTCCCTCTTCACCAGCTTCTTTGTGAGAGTTACTGGTGACCGCACTCGGGGAGCAGCACATCACCTCGTTCGAGTACCATTTTGGCCCGGTCCTGCGGGTCGAGCGACCATGCAGTTCATCGGCGCAGTCCTGTGGAACCAGCTCCCGCCTGATCTCCGTTCGACGTTCCGAGCCCAGCCACCTTCAGTTCTGTGCCCTGCTAAAAGCGCATCATGGCTCCGTTTAAATGCTTTTCGGCTACTGTGTTTCTGTGGTATAGCGGACTGAAGAATAGTAAACGTGTTTTGCAATATATGTATGAAGATATTTTGTATATAGTATGTTCCCATTCCGTTTTTCCTTTGGTGTAGCCCTGAGGTTGATTTGATTATTTATTTCTACCCTTCCTCTCTCCGTACTTCTGCCCCCCCCCCCTCTCTCTCTCATTCCTTCTGTCGTCCACATGTATCAAAGGAGGCGAAATCGCCTGTTTGTGGTGCGACGTTAAATAAACTTCTACAACAACAACATTTCACCCAAATGGCAACTCCGCCTCCATGAGCGTTTCTGTCATGTCGGACTTGGGGAGCGTATGCGAGAATTGAGTCTCCGTTACAGCGATGCCATCAGGTGAGGAGCACTTTGCTGCATGTGTGAGTTCACCAAGCTTTGACTTTAGGCCTAAAGCATTGGCGAGTAGGAGCCCGGCTGAGGAAGCGCTTCATTGGCGACCATGTAGTTAATGTTGTGGCGCAGTTCCGGTTCATCTTTTGGGGTCTCCAGCCTCTGGTGGGGAGAGGCGGGAGTTTCTCCGTTCTCGTCCACCATGTAGTGGAGTGGAGATGATGTCTGCCCGTGGTGGCGGCGGCGGTGGTGGTGGTGATGGCTGCGGGGAGGAGGGGGAGGTTGAACCCGGCTGCTATTGTTGCTGTTGCTGTGTAGTCAGAAAGCTGACGGAGGTGCTATTTCTGCTGCTGTGACTGCGACTGTTGGTGCTACCCTCAGAGCTGATTTCGGAGAACCTCTATGGCTTGCAGTATAGCCTCAGCCTAGTATAGCAGGCCTTGGCCAGAAGTTGGGCTCTGTCACTGTGTCACTGTGGAGAGTGAAGTGCCGGGCCTCGATGGTCACTCTGGCGGAAGCACGCCCGCTTTCTGACAGCCGTACACTGCAGGTGTGGACAGGAATGGAGTCACCCTTGTGCCAATTTTTTCCCCCTGCTGCCGTGCTCATATTAGTTATCTAACTTATCTTCTTCTTTGTTCTGTTTGTCCGCTTATTTTGATATATTTTTCTTTTCTCTTATTATCAGTGGGACCATTGTCATTAGGTTTAGGCCTGTTTTGGAACTCCACTCTAAATAAAGCCACACAACAACAACAACAACAACAACAACAACAACAACAACAACAACAACAACAACAACAACAACAACAACAACAACAACAACAACAACAACAACAACAAGAACAGCAGCAGCAGCAGCAGCAACAGCAACAGCAACAGCAACAGCAACAGCAACAGCAACAGCAACAGCAACAGCAACAACAACAACAACAACAACAACAACAACAACAACAACAACAACAACAACAACAACAACAACAACAACAACAACAACAACAACAACAACAACAACAACAACAACAACAACAACAACAACAACAACAACAACAACAACAACAACAACAACAACAACAACAACAACAACAACAACAACAACAGCAACAACAACACCAGAATCTCACTCCTGGTTTGGATACGGAAGTGGCTCCCAGTGCTATCCGTGGCGACCCACATACTACAGTCTGTAGTACACCATGGTACACCACGGCACGCTTGTTCTTGGGTGGCTCAGAGTCAGTAGTACTTACTACAAATTAATTTTTAATACATGTAATTACAATGCTGCTCAATGAAATTCGGGGGGGGGGGGGCAGGGTAGAGGCGCAGAGTCCGGCAGAGTTTAGGGAGTGCCTAGTACTCTAGTAGTAGTACTGCCTAGGCTGGGGTACATGATCCATGCGTACTTATAGTCCAGTTTTCCGGACCTCCCGACCGACACTGGCGACAGGCGGTACTACCGAACTGTGACCGTGACTCTGTCACTCTGGACAAGGAAGGAAATAAACCCTCCTTGGTTGAAGTAAGTAATAATAATTATTAGTTCTGTAACTAACTACATGTACTTCTAATTCTGTCGTTCCACAATGACGCTGCGTGTGACTTCATCATTCGCGCACGTCATGCAGCTTCAAGTCGATCAATAATGACTGCGCATGAGTCATGCCAGTGAATCGAAGTGACACCTACACACACACACACGTAACACAGGCTACAGAGTCAGTACCTGGAGTCCTGGTGTCGAGTGGTGACTCCTAGCACAGTCAAGTCCCAGCCTCCCATGCAGCTAGGCCAGGGCCTAGCCTAGGGCTTCGAGGTTTCGGCAGTCCGGCGCGCTAGCTAGGCGGTGACCTGGTGACACTGGGCGTGATATCTCCGTTCTTGCGAAACTACCTCTCTCCTCAGTCCTCATACAGGCTAGGTAGATCTACTAGGTTCTACTAGGTAGATCTACGCTACAGACTGCTACAAGCTTGCGATGTGATGAAATAAATAATTCGCCACATCTTTCTTTGAATTGATTTGTAGTTCCTCAACTTTCTATCGTGACAGTTTGACTCGAGGTTTCTCGAATGGAGCTTGCATTTTCCTGACGGCTTCCAAATTATTCAGGGTGACGAGTTGTTATTGTCAGCCAGAATGATCGTTTCTTGTATCTGTACTGGTGCATAATAATTATATACTTTATAGTAACTGTCCATGCATTCTTGTGAGCTTATTCCATGGAAGATATCTGCTCCATGACCATGATGACCGGTTTATCGCGGATTGTCCGTCCTAACCGGCGGACCTTACGCCTGGCTTCATGCGTTGTATCAATTATTTGGCTTGCGACGCTCTGTCGCGCAGCTCGCTCGCAATCCAACGCCACAGCGCCCTCCCTAGTCGTCGACCGGTAAGTGTAACAGTGCACGTGTCGTGTCGTTTCGAACATGAATGTTGTTACAACAAACATTCTGGTTCGTGTCCGGGTGGTACATAATGGTGACAGTCAATGTTTTCTTCAGACTTTTCCCATTTTGCATCTTTCCCACAAACCATTGAAAACAAAAAAATTATGACAACACTGGCCAATACTCAGCTGCACTGCTTTTCACACAGTCGGACGTTTCTGGTTCATCGTTTCGGTCACTATGGGCCATCTTCAGGATGAAGCAGGTACGGAAGGAAGGCAGACTTTAAAAAACACCCAGGCTACTTATTATAGGTGTGTCAGGAAAAAGCAGGAAAAAAATCGAAATGTGAAAAAACTAGGGCTCAAACGGTCACGGTTTTACCCCTGACGGTTAACTGCTAAGCTAACGGTCGGTTAACCGGTTATAACCTATAAGCCAGGGCAATCCTGCGGACTCTTTTTTAACCGTATATTTGACTATACTCATTCAAAAAATGTACCCTATTCAGTACAACGCACACTTGTACATTCTCTTGCATGCTCATTCATACATACTCTCACACCAAGAGACAAGATATGACCGAGTTGACAGCCCAGAAATTGCGTACGCGTGCGACAGCCCGCGAAAGTGCACACTTTGCAACGACCTGATACTTGAAAAATTGACTGAAAAGTTACTGCGTAACCGTTATCTTTATCGGTTAACCGTTAATTCTTCGTAACCGGTCTGCAACCGGTTAATCGGACTAATCGTTTGAGCCCTAGAAAAAACGTCTCCTGGCTCGCCGTAAGACTGCCAGTAATGAGAATGAGATGAGGGGTGGAAACCAATCACGGCTAACTAAACTGAACGACATTTAAAATGAGAGACATGATCACAAATCACAATAGTGGAGACGGTCCTCACATTGACATACACATACTGTATGTGAAAGAATAGGGTGGTGATATGTACGATTTGTGGGTGCTATGGTTTCACAAGAATAGCTATCACACCATCAAAGAAAGTTAGGGTTCCCAGTAAAAAGGCAACGCCTGTTGGGAGTTCCCTAGTAAAATAATAAATTTTACTACTACTACTAGAAAACGTAACAAAAATATTTTGAGGGATTGAAAATGGAAAAAAAACTCTGAAGAAAAATAATTGACTGTCATTGGGCGCGTTTGATTACACACAATTTCGTCCATTCTAGAATTTTGTACGGTGCGTGCACCGTTTGATTACACAAATTCCGTTGCCAGAATCGACGGAATCCAATTCCGCTATTAAATTCTGAAGAGAGAGCGGAATTTCTAATTCTACTGCCAGAATTGACACATTCGACGTACACGCGATGCTAGGTCCACGTGGGTGCGAGGGGTGTGCGTGGTCCCACAGGATCCCCCTTTACGATTTTTTACATGTAGTCATTCGTTAACATGGCCTAAATCCATTCATTCTGTTCATTCGAGAATGATAAAACCTGGGTGCAGAATGTTTAACCGAAAGCGCCCACTGTAAGCACCAGGACTGGAACCAGCAAGGTTGGCAAGGGACCAATGCCATTGTCGCATAGGCCAGCGACGCGGACAACACTGAGCTCTGGTGTACATGCAGTTGTCATCACAGTCACGTCGTGACTTACAAGTACATGTAGCTGTATGTGCCCAGCGTGGGACACTGTGATCTAGCTTCAGGTGGTGTAATCACGGTGCAGTACTGTCGGTTGCCGAAGAACTGGGGGATCAGCCTCGTAGCCGTAGCCGTAGCCTAGGACAGGTCGTTCTTGTTGTTCATGTGCTAGTAGAGTGTATACACGGTTGCGGGTCAGCGTGTATACATGTGTGTATACATGGACACTAGTACAGTGGTGTTGCTGTGCTTGGTGAAATCCTAGGCTGCTCGTCCTTTGGCGCTCCGTTCTTCGGCGCCCAACAGTACTGTGCACTGCCATAGCTTCACATACAGCTGAGGATGGATAATACAAATATAATTATGCGTTGACTGTGTAGTAGAGACTGCATCCAATGAGGTAACCATGGTAACACTGTTTTGAGCTGCTTGGGAAACAGGAGCAGCCTCGAATGGCAAAGTTTATGTAAGTACTGAGGTATGTACATCCTACATGACCAAAGTTGTGTAGAGCTAAACATACTTCCGTCACTAAGTGTGCTAGTATTCAACTAGCATGCATCCTCTTACGCAAAAGTGCAGCCAGCGGCAAAGAAGCAATCGTAAGCGATGAGATGCCAACTTGCCATTCAAACCTCCAACTCTGAAAGTGTTCCTGGCCACGGACGTCCTTGCATGTGCAGAGACCCGGCCACGAACGTCTTTGCACAAACGTTGCCTTGTGCTCATACCCCCATCGCATAGCCCACTCTGCAGCAGGGAGTTTGTACAACTCCCCAGGCCTGATTTTGTGAGTCGCGATCATCGTTTCATGGCTTTTTTTGTGTTAGTCTCACAATAAAAATGCACTGTGACAAGCGACTACCTGCTGAACGCGACCAGGGACCTCCTTTTTTTTGTGCCAAAGACGATGTTTGACCCGTAACTAGCGACCGCGATGTAGGAAATCAAATGTTGCTTGAAGCTCCTTCTAGAAATTTTGCTGATTTTCCATGGTCCTGAAAGGATTCTTTAGAGACTACAGCTGAACAAATGAACGCAGGTCATTTAGACTGTGGAGTCGGTGTGGACTGCACTACACCTGTCCAAATTTCAAGTGCTGTCAAGAACGAACATGATAGGAATCGTCATGAAGAGCGCATCGGAAGCGCTCTCTGATCGATGTTACTACTCAGAGGAGAAACGAAGACTGAGCGGCTCTGTCACCCCAGTCATACAGACGAATCGAGGATGACACCAAGGAATCCAGAAACAAAGCAAGATCCTGATGCTGAAGGATCACGTTCAAGCGATCAAAAAGTCACAACAAGGACAGTCGGTACGATTGATCGCATGAACAAATTTGAAGCCGAGCGCAAAATGGCACTTCCACAGCGAACGTTTGACTCCTGGCTTCAGAAGTAGCAGCTGAATTTGATGTCTGCAAAAAATGAATCTTCTCCCTGTCTCTGTGTCTAATTGTTTGATCTGCAATATGAATGGCATTGCGCAAGTCCTGGAATTAGCTGCATTTTGACATACATATCATAAAAAATGAAAAATCATATACCGTATATGGTCGCGCGGTGCAAACCTCTAACTAAAGACTGGCACCAAGGGGTGGTCGGTACCAAGGGGTGGTCGGTACCAAGGGGTGGTCGGTACCAAGGGGTGGTCGGTACCAAGGGGTGGTCGGTACCAAGGGGTGGTCGGTACCAAGGGGTGGTCGGTACCAAGGGTAGTGGTCGGTACCAAGGGGTGGTCGGTACCAAGGGTAGTGGTCGGTACCAAGGGGTGGTCGGTACCAAGGGGTGGTCGGTACCAAGGGGTGGTCGGTAGTTACATGTTTTACTCTGCTTTATTGCCATATTAAAATAAAACTGCGCTAGGAAAGAGTTCAAACACACCGATCGTCTATGTGCAAGGAAGTCGAATGGCACGGCCTGCTAAGATTATCAGGGGAACGCACCATCAGTCTTGTCTTCCACGCCGCAATACTGATGGCACTGGGGTTTTGTCCAATGCTGACCTGCACACCCTCAAGCTGAGGCGAGCATCCGTGTAGATGATATAGGTGTTCAGCTGATGATTGGGAATGAGATAGTGTACCTTCCTGTGGGTGTGGTCTGTTTTGAAAGGAATCTTGAGTGTTGTGCAACAGTCCTTTCTCGATCTTGCCAGTCGTCTAGCTCGATCCCGAAAAATGGCCCTAAGAGCATTAGACCAGGATCACTTTGCTGCGGCGCTAGCACTTGAAACAAAACCTTACTGACAACATAATTATGGTACCAAACAAGGTTAATATGTCTGTATTGTGATATCCCCACCCCACCCTACAGCATGGAGGCATTAGGTCAATCCATATACTACGAATATGGCTAAATGTGGTTTGCACGCTCTTATTAGCAGTATATGCATTGTTTTTTTTTACTCTTCCTTCAGCACTCTGTACAGTTATGAGCTTGGAATCGAAACACTGTCCAGGATGGTGCAGAATCAGTACGAGTCATTCTGCACTACAGGCGTCTCCGGGCCTTCTGCGTGCGTTCCGCTGTCGTGTGAGACCCAGCTGAATTTTGCCACTTGCACCAATGACACCCTCTATGGCAATCTTTTTGGGCTTGGCTGCAAGAATTGTACTGGAAGGTAGGTTGGCCTGTCTGTCTGGTTGTGCTGTGCTGTGCTGTGCTGTGCTGTGCTGCTGCTTACATCCAGTGCTTGTCCAGTGTTCATCCGGTGGCCAGTGCTACTGAACTGATGTTGCCAGCATTGTCCTGATCAAACCTCTGTGATTTTTTTGCTAACGAACCTGTTGGGGAGAGACGTGACACATTGAAATTTCTTTTCTCGGTCCAAACGCGCAAAAAGGGTCTCTCAAACTATGGGCCACGCCCAAGGATTTGGTGAGCCTGAAGTGACATCTGCAGCAAAGAGGCCGTTTGTTCGTGGTTGGATTGAGAATTATTACTTGTAAATGGCTGCAATGGAGTTTGCGGATCCTTAGAAAAATTGGCACATTGAAATGATAAAACTTCATTCTTCGTTCAATTCCAGTGACCAGGAGAAAATTCAGAAACAATCTCACCTCGGTTTCATCTGATTCCAACTTGTCATCCACATGGTTTACATGGCCAGCAGGCTTTCGTTTCGAGAGACAGGCTCTCTCTAGATGCCCGATCTTCTTGCGGAAGCGACATTCGGTGTTCCGGTGCGGGCACTTGTTGGCCATGTGCAGATCAGAAGTGCACCGGGAACATTTTCTCGTAGGCGTAGTAGTAGTAGTACTTCGCTGGCCGGCAGCACGGTTCGGCGCAGTACGATTCGGGGAACTTCTCGACTTGTTCGTACTATGCAGTTTATTGACAGAGCTCGAGTGTGCTGACTGATCCAGCGATGATGCACCTGGAGTGAGTTGACCGGCGTACGTAATGACGCTCTCCTCCCATTCTGCAATCTGTACCACGTCGGCAAACTGATTAGTATCTGCGTCAGCGCTTGTCAGAATCTTACGTTTGATGTCAGAGCTGGCAAGACCGGCAACAAACTGATCCTTTTGAGCTCGATCTAAATGATCACCAAACTGGCATGGGGTACTGCAGCTTGCTCGAGTCTGTTACAAAATCCACGATTCCCCCCCCCCCCCCCCGCCTGATGTTGGATGCAAGATCGGAACTGATATGACGCAGTTGCCGATCGACAGACTTTGTAGTAATCCCTTAGCAGAGTACATGGAGATCAGGATACAACACCCCTCCCCCCCCCCCTCGTCGCTTTTTGAATTTGTTTGCTGGTAAAAGACGTTGTATCTGTGGTTCTCTCTGCCCTGTGTTGTCATTGGTCATTGGGGAACAGGCAAATAGACGACATCCGTTCTTCAGTACAGACTAATAATCTACTGGCTAAGCCTGGCGAGCAAGAGTTGGATATTTCCTGGACGGACGGTAAGTTGATGGTGCGTATCTAATACGTGTATGTCAAGTCTTTGTTTCAGTTTATCGGACGTGTAGGTGTAGCATCAATGGCGACAATATGTGTTAATGATCATCAAAGCGATACCATGAATCTGGGCAGGAAGACGAGTTCTTGCCTGGTTGGCCAGGAGAATTGAACAACCCAGCCTCTCAACTATGGCTACTATCCTTTACCTACATTCTTCGTTTCTGCACCGCTGTCGGCTTTCACCAATTTTCTCATGATTGACAGCCATCATGGTTTGCTATGAGATAACGAAATTATTTACATCAATGGTCATAAACCCAAATGCTTCCGCCGGAATACTGGATTAAGAATAGCTTCAATGCAATGTTCTTGAACTTCGCTGGGTTTGACTGGAGTCCTGGTGCTGATCTGGTTGTATTGACACGCAGGTGTGCGTTTCAGAAGAGTTACTGAGGATCTGCTGCACGTTCAATGGCAACATTTGACAGTGGAAGACACTGGCCTGACACGAACGTTTCCCGGATTTCTACAGAACTTTTCGGTGTGCAGTACTGATGCCCGGCTCTACCCACGGTACGCTGATCATTAATAATTAATGTTGACTGTCATGCTCGAAAGATGTTGTATGACCATGGGCCATATTTTAATTTTTACTGGAACATATTGTATAGTCGATGTGCTACTGTTGATCATTTGGTCCAGATATGTTGCGGGAATTAAGGCCGTTCTATAGACCAATTTGTGGAAGCTTAGTGGTGAAAAGTCTTGAGAATAAGTTGACTTTCATGACTCGAACCCTCGATTTCTTCTAAAGATCTGCTCTAAACCCGATTATTATGCCATGCAGGCTGTTACTGTACAGGCTATTGCCATATAGGCTGTTGCCATACAGGCTGTTGCCATGCAGGCTGTTGCCATGCAGGCTGTTGCCATATAGGCTGTTGCCATACAGGCGGTTGCCATGCAGGCTGTTGCCATGCAGTCTGTTACCATGTAGGATGTTGCCACACAGGCTGTTACCATGCAGGCTGTTGCCATACAGGCGGTTACCATTCAGGCGGTTGCCATGCAGGCTGTTGCCATACAGGCAGTTGCCATGCAGGCTGTTGCCATACAGGCAGTTGCCATACAGGCTGTTACCATGCAGGCTGTTACCATGCAGGCTGTTTCCATGCAGACTGTTTCCATGCAGACTGTTGCCATAAAGGTAGTTGCCATACAGGCTGTTACCATGCAAGCTGTTGCCATACAGGCTGTTTCCATGCAGGCTGTTTCCATGCAGACTGTTTCCATGCAGACTGTTTCCATGCAGACTGTTGCCATGCAGACTGTTGCCATACAGGCTGTTGCCATAAAGGCAGTTGCCATGCAGGCTGTTACCATGCAGGCTGTTGCCATACAGGCTGTTACCATGCAGGCTGTTTCCATGCAGACTGCTTCCATGCAGACTGTTTCCATGCAGACTGTTGCCATACAGGCTGTTGCCATAAAGGCAGTTGCCATACAGGCTGTTACCATGCAGGCTGTTGCCATACAGGCTGTTTCCATGCAGACTGTTTCCATGCAGACTGTTTCCATGCAGACTGTTGCCATACAGGCTGTTGCCATACAGGCTGTTGCCATACAGGCTGTTGCCATACAGGCTGTTACCATGCAGGCTGTTACTGTACAATGCAGGCTGTTGCCATACAGTCTGTTGCCATGCAGGCTGTTCAACTCAGCCGCCGCGTGGTGTTGCCATGCAGACTGTTACTATACAGGCTGTTGCTATGCAGGTGGCTGCCATGCAGACTGTCCCACTTGAATATTGTTCAGGTATCATGTAGGTTTGAGTGTGCTGAACCGAGGGCTCCCTGATCTGCTCTCCCTAACATTGCTGACCCTTTTCAGCTTGACAGTGTTATGCACTGTACCGTGCAGATATTCTTGTAGAGCACAAAGCTAGGGTGAAAATGTTACGGAAAACGGAGCATTATTTTATTGTTTAAACTCCTTCCATGCCGCAGCATTTGTAGTGGTTGTGTTGCACTGGCTTAACCTTGTTTCTGCATCAACCCTTCCTTTGTGCACAGTTATGCAGCTGCCCTGTCCTCCCTCAAGGATATTGTTATCATCATAGACAACAATATGCTAAGAATGTTTAGTACCCTAACGATTGCTGCTGTGAATAATGTCCTTGGAACGCTCACTGATTTTGGTAAGCTTCATTTTACTTACTAGTACTTTGGCATTCATTTGCACAAGTAGTATTAGAGTATTAGTAATAATAATACTATAGTTCTGTAGGGTGTGTAGACGCAGCTGCTTGAGGTGATCGTTGTGCTTCTGCTGCTGCTTGTGTATCTGCTGCTGCTGGTGTTGCTCACAGCTTGTGTATCGGCTAGTGCTGGTGCTGCCGCTGCTGGTGTTGCTGCTTGTGTGTCTGCTGCTGGTGTTGCTGCTTGTGTGTCTGCTGGTGGTGTAGCTGCTGCTGTTGTAATGCCTTTATTGCCTTTATTGCTGGTGTGCCTACTTATAGTGGTAGCGTAACTGATGCTACTGCGGGTGCGGTTGGTTTGGCTTCTGTTCCTGCTGCTGCTGCTGCTTCTTCGACTGTGACCATAACCTGTATAGATATTTCCTGTTGCTGTGTTCTACAATGCATGTACTGTGAGGCATTCAGAGGCTGGGATTGGTCTGTCCATTGGTCCTGTTGTATGCTTTGCAAAGCACCACAGTAGTATTAGATCAGTTTGTCTAGCGGTGTGACCCAGTTAGGTTGTTCTACAGTTATTGTGTGTCGTGAGTGACAACGCACACTGTGTTGTACAATGCCCCTATTGTCCTGAACAGACGAGGTTGCATTGGTGACTTTCGATCACTCTGCGCGTATTGTTCTGACTGGAGTGGAAGGTTTGCAGGTGGCAACGCAGCGGAACATTGGCGTGCTGAAGGTAGGAGAAGCATGGCGCCATTGTGCATTCTTTTGGGTCACCAGTAGATAATATCAGTTCAAATTATATCTATCCATACTCCGAGGACATGAACCATGACATCATTATCGGTAGAAGCCTGTCTGGGTGTAGTGATCACTGCTGAGCACATGAATCATGTTGGATTTGCATGTAAGAAGAAATTGCAATCAAATGGACTTGGGTACACATGCTGCACTTCCCATGCGGGATTTGATATCTCTTGGGTCGAAAATTTTAAGAAGTGTCGATTGCCATACTCCAGTCAGCTGTTGATGAATCCTCATATTAGTCGTGGACTTCAGGACAAAGATTGACCTCCGCTGATCTCTATAGGTTGTTTGTGGTGAAGACCAATAATATTTTTTAAAGAAGAAAAACCTGTGAAATAGGGCTGCTCCTCTTTGTACGTGTTCTGTTCTGTCATAATGTAAAGTACCGCAGCAGCGCAGCACCTCTTGGTTCCTACACGGTAATGTTTTTGACGTGGGACGGATGAGCAAATCCATGTCTGTAGGTCATACAACACGAACAGTGTACACTGTACTAACATTCTACATTTCATGCAGTCAGTCTATGCTTACTGTACAGTCAAGTTTACCACAATAATAGTACTATAGTGGGGGACGAGCTAGGGGATGGATGGATGGCTGGATCGATGGATAGATAGATAGATGCCCAATGCTGTAGACATCAAGCTGTGTCGGCCATAAAGGCCTCATCAGTACAGCTACGAGCTTTAAATCGGCCGAGCTACCAGCCATGGTGCAAAGGAGGCACCACAGACATAAAGAAAGCTCGTCGCTCTAGCGCTAGAGTGCTCAAACTATGAAATGCAGTGGGCAATGCGTAATGCAGCAGCACTAGAGCAGCCTACCGAGAGTGCTCAACAAGACGAATGTCGAGGAGCACATTACCCAATACTGTAGGCAGCAAGCTATTTCGGCCATAAAGGCCTCATCAGTACAGCTACGAGCTTTAAATAGGCCGAGCTGGATGTACTTTATAGTAGCCAAGCTTGCCAAGCCAACATACAATACTGAACATGTCCCCTCTGTTGTTATAGTAGCCAAGCTTGCCAAGCCAACATACAATACTGAACATGTCCCTCTGTTGACTATCCTGTGTCTGTACAACCGTAGATCCAGCTTGAGGAGACCGCCCAACGTGCAAGAGAAACTAGTAAAACTAGCATTGTGGACTACAAAAATGCATTCAGGGAAGGCTTCAGAATCCTTTATGGAAACAAGCGGATCCTTACGCGCAGCAGCTGTCGCAGGTCTGTGTGATATTGTGTTTGTTCTGTGTGTTATCTGTGTGTTACCTGTTTGGGTGTGTGTACATATTGTGTGTGTGTGTGTGTATGTGTGTGTGTGTGTGTTTGTGTACATGTGTATGTGAACATGTGTGTGTGTGTGTGTGTTTGTGTGTGTGTGTGTGTGTGTGTGTGTGTGTGTGTGTGTGCGTGTGTATGTGTGTGCATTTCGCGCGGCCGCCAGTGGGAGCAGCACATTATATCGGAGCAACTACGCACACAGTGGGGTGACCCTACTCCACTGTTGTGCATGGTACAGCGAAGACGCTTGGAGTGGCTTGGGCACCTAGCTCGGCTTGGTAACAATCGGTTACCCAAGCAGTTGCTCTTCGCTCATCTTCCACGAACCCGCCCGTTTTGCGGCCCCCGACATCGCTGGAAGGACGTTGTCCAGGCTGATCTGACTGTGGCCGGTGTGCACAATTGGTTCCAATCAGCCAACGATCGCGGAGAGTGGCGTGACATAGTGTCGGCAGCAGCGGGGGTGAAGGAGCCTGCCCCGAAGACGATTGTGTGCCACGTTTGCGGCCGCCTGTTTCGTCGGCGCGCCGACATGGCCCGGCACAAGTGCACAGCAGTCCGACAGCTCCCCGTATCACAGCAGCCTGGGTCGGTGCAGTGTCCTGCCTGCAGTAGATGGCTCCGGAGCAGGGGTGGGCTTGCAGTGCATAAGTGCCTAGGGAGTGACAACTGTGACGACCGACCGCCTTTTGATGCTCCTCCTGTTGCCGAGGTCCCGGTGTGTACTGCCTGCCAGCGTACTTTCAAGTCTACTGCTGGCCTCAAGCGCCATCGCTGTGGACCCCGCCCGAAGCGCCCTACAGTGACTGATCGCCAGCACTTTGAACATCATTGCCGAGTCTGTAGTCAACGCCAGTTTCGGAGGCGACAGGACCTGGAGCGCCATTTGAAGCACTGCCTACCTCTCCCCTAACCTCTCTGACAGTACCTCCCTTTGGGGAGCGGCGTGGCCATTTCTGGCAGCTGTCAATAGTAGTAGTAGTAGTAGTGTGTGTGTACATGTGTGTGTATGTGTACATGTGTGTGTGTGGATGTAGGGGTGTGTGATCTTGCACTTGAATGTTCTATGTGCCTTTGCACAGACGCAAGTCCAAAAATTGCCTTGGTACTTATAATGGTGGGGAGTTCCATTCACCCAATCCTACCGAAGGCTTGCTCTCTATGGGCTGTTTGCACGTTCGAACTGTGTACTGATGCAGAGCATTCACTACATACCTTGTAATGGTAGTGCTGAAGCCACTTTTGTGACTGATATCTATAGCCGTATAGGGAAATAAAGTGTGTGTATGGTGGGGGGGGGGGGGGGGGGGGGAGGATTATAGAGGTTAAGATGCACGTTTTCCCGACGTAACGCGAAAGTTCAGCTCGTGTTATTTGCTTGCACGTCGAAAAACAACGCGAGTGACCTGCAGCTCACGTCAAAATTTGGAGTTTTACGCCAAATTTGATGTGAAATTGCGCGTCATGTCGGAAATAACGTGCATCTTAACCTCTCTATTATCTGTACTTTACAACGAGTCTATTGCGGGTTTAGTCTGTCTTCAGTGCACATGAAGCCCACATTTTGTCATTCTCATGCTCATCACCATAAGCCCTATGCCCTAAGAGCGTAAGGACCCCAGAGAACGAGAGTAGGCAGTAAGGCACGCACAAATTCTATCATGGACAGCTAGAAAGAAGGAAGACGTGCCCATGCCTGTCCAAGACAAATATCCAACCAAGACAACCGCATTATCTCTTGCTTGTTCCTTTACTCCAGGAGTGTAGTCGTGTTCATTTCTGAAGGAAGCCATAACTTCGCATGTAAGTTTAAACTATAGAGATTGCTGGGAGTGGTAGCTGTTGTTGTTGTTGTTGTTGTTGTTGTTGTTGTTGTTGTTGTTGTTGTTGTTGTTGTTGTTGTTGTTGTTGTTGTTGTTGTTGTTGTTGTTGTTGTTGTTGTTGTTGTTGTTGTTGTTGTTGTTGTTGTTGTTGTTGTTATTGTTGTTGTTGTTGTTGTTGTTGTTGTTGTTTTCTTTATTTGAATTCGCTAAAACCAAACGGACAGAACTGTCCAGTGACAGCTCCAAGCCGCTGTCCAGTGCATGTTCTGGTACTGACGTTTGGCAACTTCAGTATCGCTTCACCAATCTACTACCTCTTCAATTTGTTTGTTCCGTTATCTGTGTGATTTTTGTGTGAGCACCTGAAGCCATAATAATGGAGAGGTGTCTTTTACCCCCTGTGTCATTGCGTTCTACTCTGCTGTTCATATTTTCATTGTGAAAATTTTCGCGGAATGACTCATACAACTTGGTGGTACAAAGCAGCAAATGCGGAGATGTGATAAATTGGATGGTTAGCAAACAAGAGAGGAATGGATGAAATCACCAACTATCAGGTCTCGGTTCAATTACCTCTCATGCACGAAAGCGCTGTAGGGCAAATGTGCCGGGGGGGGGGGGGGGGGGGGGGACTATGGGGAGTCCTCTCAGATATTTTATTGTATGTGTATTTTTACGTGATATATTTGAGAACAAACCGAATAACCATGTACACAGGAATAACACATTGTGTTATACCCTCTCTGTCTCCTGCAGCTCTGGACAACCTCATCCAGGAGTTCAACACTTCCATTGGTGACTCATTCACATCCATTCTTAGCTACTCCACTGCCAAGGACAACACTTTAGAGTCTCTTTCTAACTTGTATGGAGGTCAGTGCATTTGGGACTACAGTATCATATTGTGTACATTGGTGATGTGCTCCATGCAGCCGAAATCCGAGTTAAGGTGACATGCATCCGTCCCAGATCTTTGACAACCTTCGTAAGGCTCTCTCTGTTATGCTTTGCTGTGAGATACAACATTCCAGCCATTGCAATGCATCGCAAGATAATGGTGACGTTGCGGTGACTGCCGTGTGGCAGCAGCAGCAGCAGCATTACTAACATGGCGTACTGCATGTGTGGCATAGTGATGGCCGCTGTGCCACGAGCTAAGGGTATTCCTTCACAGAATTTCTAGTCTCTCTTTGCAACGCTAGGGGCGGGGCATATTTTCTCCTCTCGCAAGCCTCTATTTCTCCAAAAAAATATCTGGGTAAGCGAGGGAACTTAATGAACGAGAACAGTTCACCTCAAATGTGTTCGCCGTAAATTTACTCTTGTGTTGTTTGCAGGTATCCACACAGAAGTAATGGATGTGTCCACCCTGCCAAATGTTGTCAGCCAATACTACAAGTACTTATGGGCACTGGCCTCTATGCGCCAACCATCTACGTTCTGGTCAGGTGAGTATCTCTCCTCTTCTAATCATCAACCGATCAGTTTGAAGTAGATCGACGGCAGCATAATTGATCTATTTCAAGATTCAAGAAGTATATGCAGGTCCCCATAATTTTTCCTGTGGGATTTGCTATGCATCCAAGCAAAATGTGTATCTTTACAGAAATTGAAAGCACAAGCTCCAGTGTGGTGAGCAAACCCTTTCCTTTACAGGATTCTTCTGAATGTATTGATCCCGGCTTCAAGGCTCTGTCTTACTTTCTCTTTTATTCCGTTCTCCCCTTCTCTCGTTGTCATACACTTGATGCTCTGGTGTGATTGCTAACAGCCGGCCTGTGCCTTTAGGTTATGTACTAGCAATTGTCATTGATTCAATCCGCGGGTCATCAACCTGCCTATTATTTTGTGCCAATAGGTTTACAAACCGATGCACCAACGAAGAGCCAGTACTTCACTCTGTCGAGACCAGTGTTCTGGCAGGGCACTGCGGCGAATAACGACAGTAATGGTAAGGCTACATTATTGGAGCAAAGCGGTATAATTATAACAGCATGCTTCACTGAAGCCTTGATGGATAGGTACTGAGCAGGTACTAACATCACATAGACCAGATGTGTGTGTGTGTCTGTCTGTGTGTGTGTGTCTGTCTGTGTGTGTGTATGGGTGTGGGTGTGGGTGTGGGTGTGGGTGTGGGTGTGTGTCTGTGTGCGTGTCATGCTCTGACACATTGACATGTGCATTCGGCACATACTGTCATACTTGCCAACCCCTGGCAAACAGTTTCCTTTACACTGATGACGTTTTTCCTTGATTTTGCCCATTTTCCTTGATCTGCAATTTTTACATCATAATTGTGCAAAATATTGTGTATGACATCATTGTGACTTCAGCATGACCACAAAACATTCGCACATAAGTTAGTACAACATGTCCGACAAAAAAGTACTTTTTCATACGCAAACTCAAAAGTTCTCGCTCGCTAGACCTTCATTTTGGGCACAGCACTGCTAGCGAGCGTCCAAAACAGTGAAAATCAACAACAACAAAAAGGTGTTGACGGACATTTTCGAAAATCCGGTAGATGTTATAACTTTTCCGGTATACCGGGACGAATGCGAGTTTTCCTTGATTTTCCCGGAAATTCCGGTAAGGTTGGCAAGTATGTACTGTTCTGCGAATAAGCAGAAAACTGCAATCGAGTGTGTAAGCCAGCACACATTCTTACAGTCTGCCCAGTGTACCTGTTTCCTGTTTCCTGGGTATGACCATGGCAACATTCGGACATGTTGCATTGTGGCAAAACGGTGGAATTTCAAGGAAACAAAACAACCGTTGAGTCGAGTACGATAAAATTCACAGCCTTCAGGAGACCAATAGCAGATGTAACAGATAACAATTATAGCAAGCAGCAGGGCTTCTGTAAGGTTGCCTGTGGGGTACACCGAAGTGAAATCAATCTGCCTTCTTTCATTTTTAGTACTTCCTCCGGAAACGAAAACTTCGTGAGTTTCTTTCGCTACTTTCCGCTGCTGTTATTTTGCTCTCTCTCTCTTCTTCTGTCAGCCTGAAACACTGACATGACATTTCAGAATTGTAGGAAACATGATTCATATTTTGGAGCAAGGGTGTCGACGCTGCAAACAAAGCAAAGCGAACATGTTTTTCATTTTTCGTCCACCAGGCGCAATGGAAAGAAAAGCTATGCGCTCACTGCTTGTCGTAGCTGTTTTTTAGTTCAGAACTCAGGACAATGGCACCGATGAGCAAGAAGAGTGGAAAATGAAAAGCAATAGCAGCTAGCGTTTTGAAATCTTCGCCATCCCCGAAGCGCCTGTCTGCATGCGAACAGGTCGGCAAGATGTCAAAACTCCAAAATGCAGAGATGTGACAATCGTCACTTCGCGCAGCAGAGTAAGATGAACAATTTCAAAAAGAAGTCGTTCAGCCACTGCAGAGCTCAGACCCAAACGTTGATTATCTCCCCTTTTCCAGCAGCCTCGACGATGTGTCCTTGGTCGCAAAGGAGAAGGCGAGATCTGATTGCGGCAGTCGGGAAAGTGCTGGTACAACTATGATATCCCTCGGAGGAAATTTGAAATGTTTGGCGTCGCCTGCGTTTGAGTGAGTACCAGCACTGCAGCGCTACCGTGGTCTCCGCCGAGATGTTGGAGAAGGCATTCAGGTAACAGCGAAGACGATCAGGGACGCGGAGAAGCTTCTCCGCGACATACATGTACGACATTGCGTCGATCGACCTGCCACTTGGAACAGTTTCAGCGGTGATGAGTCGAGCGATGGCGACCCAGACTGAGACTCTACTCCCACTAATCGATCCTGTAGATATTGTAGATATGTCGATTGAATGTGTTGAAGTGTTTCTCTTCCAAAAGAACACTTTTGTTGGGCACAGTAACTCCTTGAAAAGTCATGTCAAAAAGTCACGGAGGAAGTACCATTGTGACACTCGCTGGCCATAAGCAAGGGTCCCTATTTTCAATCGTGCTGGTGGCAATCATTCTTTTTGGTCTTTAGACTTTTCCCGTTTCGACGCGGCCTCAAACTTATGAGTATCATGACACCACGGTGTGCTTTCTGCACTTGTTTATTCTTTTTGTTATGACAACCTCGCCAGTGGAGCAGACCATCCAAACACTGGTGGGAGTTGTAGCGTTCGACGTACAGGCCACTGCTATCTTGGACGAATTCCCAGGATCGAAAGACTCCGCAATGGTAGGATTTCCAATTTTCCAGGCACCTGGACCCTGTTAATGGTGGGCTTTGCTGATCATTTTTGAGCTCTGTCAGTCCATACTGGACTCTGAGTGATAATGCTGAGGGCTCTGAGTGACAATGCTGGGGGCTCTGAAAGTCCATACTGGGCTCTGAGTGACAATGCTGGGGGCTCTGAAAATCCATCCTACTACTGCATCTACCTGTGCAGTGCACAAATTTCTTATGCAAACTGAAACTTTTATTTCAAAAACTCTCCACGATTGCATTGCGGCATCAAACTTCAGAGTAGAGGCTCTTCTAATTTGGTATTTTCACTGAATTTGTGCATCACCCCCCCCCCCCCCCCTCCCGGGCAAGGCTGCTTTTGAAGATCTGCTGTTGAAGGTGGTGTGAGGATATCCACATGTTCTGGCAACTTGTTGATTTTCTTGGTATGGTTGATGTTACCAATGTTCAGGATACTCTTGAGACCAAGCTCCTTGCTCGGTCTGGCTTGTGCAACTCGTCGATGGCAGATGCATGCAGTGTTTGGCGAGCCCTGTCACCATCTCTACGTGGCGAGTAAGTAGTTGTGCTCTCTATCTGTTTAGGTAGTTGAAACAAGCAGAGAACTATACTCTCTGAAGAGTGCAGTACTATGCGCTGAGGAAGAGCTTATTCACACACAGCAAGGGAAGAGAGAAAGAGTCTCTCTACGTTATGTTGAAGAGGTGTACTGTAAATATACAACATTTTCGGCAGCTATTTAATTTCGGCTATATTCGGCACCGAACCAAAACGCCTAAATTAAAACGCCGATGAAATTTTTCACAGCATCTGTCGCATTATACCATGCCCTCTACCATACGCCGAAAATAAATCGCTGTCGAAATGTCAAAAATCGTGAAGTGCCGAAATTTTGCCGCGCTGAAATTTTGTATATTTACAGTATAGTTCAACTTTGTTCTGCTTTACGTATGTCCCATATTTTACCCGTAAACCATTCCCAGTGCAGGATTGTGGCGGAGTGTCACATACTCTCCACGGTGTGATGCTGATTTTCGTCATGCGTGCCCGATGGTCGAGGGCAACTGATGGTGTGGTGCTGGTACGCTTTGCTTTCCTGCAGCACTCAGAGCAGCACGTTCAGCACTACCGGCATACATCGCCAATGTGATCTGCAGCACGTGGATGATGTTGTGGTGGAGTGCAATATGATCATATCTCGCACAAGGTACTCTCAGTAAGAGCTTCCGCCCACTAAGAACCTGAGCTATATACAGGGTCTTCCCCGCTCCACACTAGTACTCATCAGTATGTTTATGTGGTCTCGTTGATACATGTCGGACAGTCCTACTTGAAAAAATTGAAGAAAATATTTGAAAACATTTTCAAAACATGTTTTGGTTTACAGGAGTACAGTGCGTTGTAGCATTGGAGCTAGCATTGCTGGTAGAACCGCCTTAGATTCAAACTCAGTATACAGAACTTAAACCTCGTTTAAAGCGTATAAGATACATCATGGGACGGAAGGAAAGGAATTTGAGAGCCAGTTCGAATTGTGTGCCTTTGTGTGCGTAGATTAATTATCAGCCTATATACCCACTGTACTGACTGTTGCCTGATGATTGCCAGATCATGAAACTAGAAGTAGCAGCAAACAAGCCCTGATTGTCCTTGTTGTTCTGTTCTGTACCCACTGCAATGTTAATTTATTCTATGTTTGTCTGCTATCCATGTATTTAATCGCAATAGGTCTCTGAGGAACTGCACCAAGCGTTCCGATAACAGAGTGGTGCCTTGCTGTGACCTTCGGAATTCCAATTGCACGACTGACGACGGGGATGATAGCTCTGGAGTTTCTGTGGCCACTATCATTTCCATTTCTGTCTGGATGGTCATCATTTGCGCCTATCCTTTCATGGCTGCTCTCAACAAGTTTGTTCATAGCGAGTGGAACTGTTGTCGTAGGAATCGCAGAAGCAGGTAACAACTTCAAATGCTACTAGTATGTTTGTAATGTTACTGGAGTGATCAGTGTTAGTGTGTGAGTGCGTGCGTGCATACTAGTACAGTGGAGATTGGATATAACGACACTCTTTCGGGAGAAAACGAAATGTCGCTATATTCAATCTGTCACTAAACCCGATCTTCACATTTAGTATGCAATATGTACATGTATATCAAAATGACAGAAATGTATTGCAGGTATGCATGTGCATAATAATAATGCATAGGTGCGTGTATGTACATGTGTCTTGCGTGCATAGTTCAAGCCAAAAGTCATGCATAGCAACTACTAGGTACACCGCTGCACTTCGGCTACAATGTGCAATACACAATGACCAGCATGCATGGAGTGACCCAGAGGTCTGGGAATGTGACACAGACATGTCCCATGCATGCCACTCCGCTAGATACAAGAGGAAAGTCATTATATTCGATGCATTTTCACGTCTTCGGGCACCAAAAATTGTCAGGAAATTCGATCTGTCATTTTTTTCCAGGTCGTTATACCCGATATATGATGTACAGAAATGACTTGCTAAACGACTTGGGCAACAGAATTTTGTCGCTTTTACGAGTTAAAACTCGATTTGTAATTATATCCAAGGTCGATATATCCAAGGTCGTTATATCCAATCTCCACTGTAGTGACACTGGGTTTCTCTCCCTAACAGGGACTCACAAGTTAGGTATACATGTACAGTCAACTTGGCGTATAACGACACTCGGCGGCGGGGCATCAGAAAAATGTCCTTATTCGCGAAGTGTCGTTATACCCGAAGTCGTATTATACGTGTCACAGTTGGATTGGACTTTGCTCTGGGCATGAAAATTATGTCGTTATTCGCGAATTGTCGTTATAGCCGCAGTCGTTATTAGCGAAGTTGACTGTAGTTTAAGAATGCGGAGAAGAAAGGTGGCACAAAGTGACTCCGAAGACTAGATGAAAAGATGAGGAACTTAGACGGACTGAGCTAAAGACTGAGCTGATTCGGAGGTGATTGAATAACTGAAAGATAGATATGCATAAGAGAAAGAAGTCCCGTTACAGCTGGAGCTAGCGGACTATGAATGGCAGCGAAAGACAATGGCAGTTACACATCACTGGTCACATTGTCGAGAAAGATAAATGCGGCTACTATCAGTATAACATGAAAGCTAGGAGTGATTGTGACATATTGTGGTTTGTGTTACAGGGAGACTATCTTGTACCTGACTTTGCTCCACGTTTTGTAAAAATGTACCTTGATCTTGTGCATGCAGAACCAGAAATGTACGCGTAACAAGAAATGGCAATGTGAATAGGTCCAGACCGTCCACTCAACCTACAAATGAAGTGGAGGTTGAACTGGAAGATTACGCCAGCCGGGAACTTACCAACGCACCACCGCCCAGCTACAATATTGCCCTGGAAACTACATTACCCACTTCATCACCAACTAATAGTATTCCGGTAAGAGTTTTTCAAGTTCCACACCCATGCCTCTTGAATCCTGCACCGTCCCCAATCCAGAAGAAGTCTGTCAAACAGAGGTTGCCGGATTGAAGAGATCTAACTGTATTTTCTCCTAGACAAACCCGTCCTGTTTCAGACAAATGAAACATCATGAATCTCAGGATGGCTGTTATCACTGCAGTAGGAAGATTCTCCTTTCTGCCATGTACTCCCTCTTTCCTATTCCCTTCCCTCATGACATTTAACCCCACCCGGCTCACCTCGTATTCTTTAGGAGGTTCCCTTTGATAGGCAGCTGGTTGCCTTTCAGGAATCCTTGACATAAAATGTCAATGAGTGCCAATATGTACAGTCATGTACATAGCAGCCAATATGTACAGTCATGTACATAGCACAGAATCATGACTGTAGGAATGAATTTGAAGTGTTGTTCGTATGAAGAGCCCTTCTCAGTGTGAGTTTTGTGCTTTTTTATTTTGATGCAGTCCCCGGAACCTGGTTCATTCACGCGTACCAACAACACTAGCCTATCTGTTGGCTTTGACGACGCCACTGAGCCGCCGCCTGGCTTTGATGAAGTAGCGGCAATGCCTCCGCCGTCGTATGATGAACTGGGAACGTAGCCGTGCGTATGCGACGAGTGCAAGACGCCAGGCTGTGTTCAGGTGTTCCAATCGTTATGTATTTAGTTCACCCGTGTTCTGTTGAGCTGCATCTGCGCCTTAGATCATTGCAGGGTGGTGTTCCTACAGAGGCTGAAAACTCAGTCTAACTCAGCCTCAGCCAACCGTGAATTTTCTGTTGATTTTAGACTTAAAACTGCCAGTTGAGAGTAGGATATGGCAGAGCATAGTAGTTAGTTTGACTCAGACTGGGTAGGCCACTGCAGGAAGTGGCTTGCTCCACATTATAGCCGCGGGTGATGTTGAGTCCACGCTAGTGCCGATGTCAATTTGTAGTGCTGACGTTAGTGCTGATGATAGTGGCGATAGATGGTAGTGGCTTCTGCAGGGTACAGAGGAACTACCAGGACTCAGCACTTTCCACCTCGAAAAGCAGGACTTTCTTGAGTATGTTGATTTTGATTCTGTGTTGCCAACACTAAAGTCATCTTTTATGACCTTGTGTTGTGTTTTTCCTTGTGTCTACCGGTATGCAGTTCATGTTGGGCAATAAAAAATTTCCAAATTGCTATTGATAAGTAAGAGATTTTAACTGTAGTCCATCATGATCTGCAAGTGTCTGTATTCATCACTGTACATATGCCCTATCAGTATTCCGAATCATCACTGTACACGTATCATTTACACTGTCATTTACACTGTTGATTGTCTTCTTGTGGAGTCATTACCTTCAACTAATATTCTCGTCATAGAGTTTACGTTCAGATTTTAGAATGTTGAAAACACTCAGTCTGCGGACGGACCTGTTTCGTCCTTTGTGGACTCATCAGCGCAGCACAGAGGAAATGAGGCAGGAACCCAATAGCAATGAAAAATAAATTTTCCAAAGCCAGATTTAAATCAGGCCCGAACGTACCTTGCCAGAGTGCTCACTCTGACAAGTCAGTGAATGTTGAAAATGTTAGGCATTACGATGAGATCAGAACTATTTCTTGAATCTGTAGAGCATAAAACACAGGTACAGCTGCCAATGTTGATTGTAGCAAGTACATCTGCTTCCCATCTTTTTTGGCAACACAACAAACTATCTGCTACGTGGAGCGTTTGGGTGGCAATGAAGCCGAGACCTTATGGTTATGGTCGGTCGACTCTGCCCCTGTCTGTCCCCCACTCCTTCCATTCCATATGTCTCATCGCTGCCTTGCTGCTTTGTGCCGTCATGGTGTGTGTTTTTTTGTAAATAAAAACAGATACTAACATGCTCCCACAAATGCCGGACCAGAATATCAACACACTGCCAGTGTCAGAAACTCCACTGGACCATGTCAAACCGAGACCTATACCACGATCTTCTTCTTTATGTCACAACAGCTCTGGGCCTGCAGTTCCAGACCGATCATCCGAGTCCGAAACCGTCTTGACAATGTGATAAATTATCAATGCTATAGTGTGTAATGTACCGTTCTACAGAATTACCAACTGCCAAAGAGTGCATGCATGTATACCAAAGGCTTGCATCGTAATCCACAAACAGAGAACACACGTACTATGAAGTACACAATCATTTATTCACTGAACCTGGAATGGTGGAAGGAAGGCAAGTAAGGAACTGTCAAGCCCTCTGCAGTGTGCTGTTAAGTTGCATGTACCAGCACTCATGAATTAGAGATATGTCATGTAGCGATGTGCTTGTGCTTGCGACAGAATGATAGAGATGATACAACGATGCGCGGAATCTACAACAACTGTGGCGAAACTAGTACTATGTGGCCATCACAAGAAAGAAGCATGCAAACTTGAAACGAGTAGGATATGCATGTGGAAGGAATGATCAGCTCAGTGACGAGATCTGTCCATCGTACTATTCATTCTTTGCCTTGTACCTCTGGATATCCCTGGCTGCACACTTAGTATTTGCTACAGTCACGCGACGAGTACTGGGTGCACTGAGAGTCACTCGTCTGCTCCGTGACGTCGGAAGTCTTCAGGCCGCCCACTGAAGTAGCATGAAATCAGACAAAGCGCACAGAAGCCTTCAAGAATACCATCACGCTGACTGCCGCTAGCAACTCTTACGGTTGATGAGACTCACCTGTCTGTAAGGCAGTGTGACCTGGTTTAGTCTTCACCCAGAGATTTTACCACGGGCACAAAAGGAAAGACTCAAGGCGCAAGTCCTCTAGCTCTCTATCATGAATGATTCTAGGCTATTACATTCACTACTCGTACATATGAATGTAGCCGCATTACTAATGGGTCGGAGAAACCTTGATAAGGGACCACTTGACTCCGGAGAGAATGATTAGCCGGTCCCATGACCTGATGACACGGCCTTGAAACCAGGTCTGTCTGACCGTCACCAGTACATGCAGTGTACAAGGAGGTGGCTGCAGCCTGCAGTAGTGAATGTCTTTGAATGGATGATGCATGGAGAACACATAAAGGGTGCCGCTGCTCTACAATATGCGGATATATGTACACGCGGACATACGAAGTACGTATATGCTGCTCTGCTGCTCTGTAGAATCTTTCTATGTGTAAGTGTATTATAGTGTAGCTGCGGGTCCATGAAACCACTGAACAGTGCACAATGCTACTTTGCTGTGTAGTCTAAGCATTACCAGTGATACGAACTATGCATGAAGGGCTGCCGGAAGCTGTGACTCACCAGTTAGGAGGTTCTCCAGGTTGCAGTAGTTTGTGCCATCATCCAGATACGCATACCATGTCTCAGATGTTGAAGCAGCCTGCACGCACGCATACACACACAAACATGTACACACACACACACACACACACACGAATGCATGGGAACACCCATCCACACAAGCACATACAAAAAGGAACAATTAATTTTGTTGCCACCTTACCGGTATATTTCGGTAGTGGAAGTCCAGTCTAGGCCAGTGAAACCCAACATTGTAGATTAAGCATCCTATGAACTGTAAACTCCTAGTATGATGAACATAGGGCTATGTACTGTGCACACCTGTGCTGTATTTATGTAGTCAGATTTCACTTGCTGCATCCAATGCCATTCATATCGGCCGTTTGCCTCCGACCATTGAGAGAAAGAGAGAGAGAGAGAGAGAGAGAGAGAGAGAGAGAGAGTGTGTGTGTGTGTGTGTGTGTGTGTGTGTGTTTGTGTGTGTTTAGACTAGGCAATGTACACGTGGCTGAGGTGGAGTGTGCGAGTTCGTAGTAACTCAGGTTGTGCTATATTTGATTAGATCTTTAGCGTAGACCATAATTGTTACACATATCTGGCAAGCAGTTGCTGCATGTGAAACCCTTTCTCAGAGTCGTGATAGAAAGCGAATCATGGGAATGCAAGAATGGTACATGACAATGCATGCATCACAGTGACCTAACATAAGGAACAGCATGAATCAGCACAACAATTGGTGAATGCAAACTTGATAGCGTACCTTCACACTGCAGCCGGATCCTGATGCAGAAAACGTGATGGTCAAGTCATCCTTGTAGTGCTTTTTTGGGGTCTCATGCTTGAGTGTCATCTTAGATGCAGAGTGAGATTCAACCTGATAAACGTTGCCAGAAACAACAGACAACCCGACACGCAGACAAGGCAGTAAGCATACCTCATTGCTCACCCACATTGCAAGGAGGCACAGCTCCTGCATAATTCAAAACAATCCGGCATTGTTTGCAGTGCACTTGTAAATATGATCATCAAGCAGGATTTCCAGCACTGGAAGTTCAAATCAATCTGGCTTTCACTCGCCGCACAGTCCTGGTAAAAATGATGAGCTCAACTTCTGCCAACTCATGATGTTCCACCTAGCCAACACGCTAAATTTCCTCTGCTACATATTACTGCTGTGTAAAACCAAAGTGGCAAATAGGTCCACTGAGAATCATTGCAGGACTGCCGCTCTTGATCGGTTCCCATTCCATGGCCTATCATACTCAGTTTGTGTGTGGACATGGCAGGTACACATGACCTCCCGGTCAGCAGTAAGCACACGTTGGTGGCCAAAAGATGGTCCGGCGATGACCTGGGGATGCTTTGAATTCCATTCACAGCTGCTAGCCCGTTTGCCCCGGAATCAAGATACCTACTCACCGTGTACAGGCACTTCTCGCTGCCATCGTCACATCCCGTTGTTCCCTGCATCTTGTTTGCAGCTGCGTACAGAGCCTCATTGACTTTGTCACATGATGTAGTTGCAAACGTCCTGATAGGTTCAGCAAACAAGAAGCAAAAAGATGATTTTTTTAAGGGGAAGCATACCCTGAAATCAAATTTTCACCAGTTGTAGTCTTCGGGGTGCTGAGTCGAATGGTCTTGGTCCGAGGAAGCTGAGACGCTCCCGTCCTCCTTTAATCCCAATCGAACTCACGCACTTCCACCGAAACTGGGTGACTGCGCCCCTACTTGATGGGGATTTGAATGCAAAAGGTCACTAAAAGCCCCATTTCGTTCTCATAAAAGCACGGGTGACCGCGATTGGTCCATATGTGTTGTAGTCTTTTGGCCGCTGAGTCGACTGGTTTTGGTCCGAGAACGCTGCAATGCAGCGTTCGGCACTTATCCCCAAACAAACACGGGTGAGTAAGTGGTCACGTGCTCCTGCGTACACCAGTCACCGTGCTCGCATGGCCCCGCAGGCTACAACTTTTACAGCGTTCCTGTCACTCGAGTTGAACCTTTGAACCTTTGAGTTGACCATTGATGTAAAAGTTATAGCCTGCAGGCACGGTGACCAGGCGACTGGTGTACGCACGAGCACGAGACCTCTTACTCAACCATGTTCGATTGGGAATAAAAGCCGAGTGTTGCATCGCAGCCTTCTCGGACCAAGACCAGTCGACTCAGTGTCCAATAGACTACAACATATGGACCAATCGCGGTCATCCGTGCTTTTATAAGAACAAAACGGCAGTGCAGTTACCCAGTTTCGGTGGAAGTGCGTGAGTTCGATTGGGAATAAAGAAGGAAGGGAGCGTCTCAGCTTCCTCCGACCAAGACCATTCGATCCAGCACCCCGAAGACTACAACTGGTGAAAAATTGATTTTAGGGTATACTTCCCCTTTAATAGCTAGATACAAAAGCAAGAATTGGAACAAAGTACAGAAAGCAATATGATGGAAGAAAATGCGATGGTCAATGACGTTCTAAACACTCTATATAGTGCTCCCCTCCCTTTTCTTTTTCGTGTTTAGACTCTCTACCTCTTCCATTATCGATCTGGTCCGCTATGTTATTCTCGCCAAACAGGTTGCCTATGCTAAGGGGCTGATATCCGTCACTTATCGATTCTCAGCTGAACTTGGACTTGAAGAGTTCGTGCTGGTGTTAGTTCGCTTTACTTGTCAAAAATAGACCACTTGCCATTTTGAAATTCATCTTCTCGAAACCATACTAACTCTTTCTCAACCACGAAATCTACACAAGTAAGTTATCGGAGTTGTACAGGCTGGCTCAGCAGGAACGGACCAGAAGGGAGGCCGTCCTTAGTCCTATTCCACGTTGTAGGCCAGAAGGTGCGGTATGGTGGTGCCGCCTGAGAAGTGAGATTAAAGCGAGATTGTTATGAGTTATTGGCACTGGCAAGCTACATAATCATTGGATGCAGATCACGAAGCAACCATTGCGTGAAAAGTGACGGTTTGAATTCGTCCTGCATCAGTGTACTGTTAGTGACACAAATCCCCTACAAACTTCCTTCGCAGTTGCTATCTTTAGTACAGTATCAAGCAAGAACATGGTCGCAGGGCAGATACGCTAACACGAATTCC